TCTGCTGCAGCAGGGATCAGGGTACTACACTATTGCAATACCCCAATCCTTCCTCTTCTCTGCCCTTCACCCTGCATTCCTTTTTTCCTTTGCTTTATTCTTATTAGAAGGAAATTCTTTAAATCCCAGGCTTTACCAAAGCTTTGTTACAAGTACATTAGGAGAGCTGACCAGAATACGATGTGACCGAAAGATTAGGTTGGTGTGTATGCCGCAAGAAGGAAGCATTTGCAAAGAAAATGCAAATATTGAAAGAAGTATGCAGTTTTTTCCTAATCCTTCATGTCCTCCCTCACCCAGTAAGGAAAATTGCAAAAACCTACCTTATTCCTTTAGCCCAGACTGCTTTGTTCAATCTGGTATCAATGCGAACGTCAGGAGTACCCATCTCCTTCATCGCAAATTTACGGATTTCCTTGAGAGCGCGTGGTGCTCGCTTCTTGAAGCCCCTGGGACAAACACAAGAGCCATTCTTCAACTTCAGGACACTTTCACACACTCGCTGCGTGTACTCTTTACACATACAACCCAAAGCACTGATCTCAACAGATGCTGCACCAGAATGACTAGACCCTCATCCTGGCAGGCAGCTGCTAACTTTCATATCTGTGCCTAACAGAAACCACTCAGAATAATTTCAGTAAAATTTTGCAATCACAAGATCTGCTGGATCTTAGGTCTTCATCTTTAATGCCAACATTTAAAATATCTCAGTATCACTGAAGAGATCAGAAGTTTCACAGACACTCTGAATAAAAGCCCTATGAAAAAGGCATTGCAACAACAATAACATAAACATGACAGACCTCTTATCAATATTGTAACAAACAGCAGAAGTCCAAAACTGATCTTATTTGGAGTAACAGCTTTTGCTGAACAGTACTTGAGGTTCCTTTCTTTCATGCCGTCATGACTGTACCAATACCACCATCAGAACTGTTTTTTTCCCAGTACAGCCTGTCCTAAAGCTCATTATAGCCAGAGTCTGCAGGACTGGGCATTCACAATAGAAGTCAGAGCTGCACCATGAATGTTTTGCCATATATATTTCTATTATTTGCATACTGWTGTTGATATTTAGTGCCAGAAATGGAAAGTGAGTACATGACTACAAGTGAGACAAGCAGTATACAAAAAGCATTTCAGCTCTAGCACATCATGCCCAAAAAGAAAAGCAGACAGCAGGACCATCAGCATTGAAAGACTTAAYTGCCAGTCAACAGGCAAGGACAGAACACGTCCCTGTCATTTAGAGTACCACTGCCTCCCATTGTCAGCCATGCTTCTGMAATACTCCCCTGCCTCATTTCTGTCCTGTTCCATGTTGGCTTTAGCCACTGCACCAATTGTTTGGATTTGGATGGTACCTTCCATGTGACTGCAGGCATACAYAGAATGCAAAGGCAGTAATTTCCTCTGAAACACTTCTCCACTATATGTTTTCACGAGGTTTAGCATTTTGTCAATTAAAAAGCTACTCTAACCAACACACAGCAAATATCCTTTAACCCCAATCATATCCCAATTTACACCTCATACAATTTTATGATAAACATGAAGCCAACCGTTTGATTACAGAACTATTTAATTTCTRAAACTTTCTCAGTGGGCTTAAGTTTAAGCGTTTGCTCGGGAAAGAATGACGACCTATGCACAGAAGTAAATCGATGTAACTTTCAAGTCCCAGAACATTCACAATCAAAGAAAGAGGCTTGTTTCGAACGCCAACAAGGGAAATCTGAGGTTGGCCAGGTACAGAGCTGCTGCCTTGGGATACCACCGAGGCACAAGGGACCATAAACACCACACCTTAAGGACAGTCCTTCTCTGCCCTTTAAAACGTACCGAACCCATTGGCAAGGCAAATTCCGCAGATAAAAAGAACTTACACGCCATGGATCCGCTTGTGAATGTTGATGGTATATTCCCGAGTTACTACCTCATTGATGGCAGAGCGCCCCTTCTTCTTCTCGCCGCCCTTCTTTGCGGGAGCCATCTGAGCGACACTGAAAGGCACCGTGCACACATCAAACGCAGACCTCGCACCTTCCCCGTCCCCTTCCCTCCCGTCGTCCCCAGCCCTTYACAAGCCGCACAACTCCCACATGCAGAAACTTAAGCCTAAGCTTCATTAATTAACCTCCGGGGTCGCACCAGTCGCAGGCTTCATGCAGCAACTTTCCCGCATCCTAAATGCTTTACTTCCATCTCCCTAAGAGGAGCAGGAAGCACATCCGAGACTTCCACCACCTCGCATAAACACCGGACTCCTGGCTAGCGTTAAGCCCCCTCCTCCTGCAAGGCGACCCAGGAGGGCAGCTCAGCGCGTCCCGGAATGAACACGACGGGGCCACAGCGGCTCCTCYGAGGGGAACAGCACGGGCCGTATCCCCGGCCCATGAGTCCCGCAGGCCTCCCCGGGCCGGGGGAGCGCAGGAGATGGGCCCCATTCCCGCCGAACGCGGCCGCGCCGGGACATCCCACCCGCTGCCCCCCTTGCCGGATCGCCCCCCTCGCCGGGCCGGCCGGGTTCCCGCCGCGCCGCGGGCTGTGCGGGGAGGATGGAGGCGGATTCTGCGGGACACGGCCCCGCCACACTCACCCTGCCCGGGCACAGGCCGGAAAGAAGCGCGCGAGGCACGCCGGGAAACAGGAGCGCTTCCGGGACGGGCTGGGGAGGGACTGGGCCGGCGGCGGGAGGGGCTGAGGGGGCGGTGTGGGTGTGTGCGGTACCGGGGGTGTCACCGGGGCGGTGTGGGTGTGTGCGGGGACCGGGGCTGAGGGGGCGGTGTGGGTGTGTGCCGGTACCGGGGATGTCACCGGGGCGGTGTCGCTGTGTGCCGGTACCGGGGGTGAGGGGGGCGGTGTCGGTGTGTGCCCGTACCGGGGCTGTCACCGGGCGGTGTCACCGTGTGCCCATACGGGGGGTATCACTGTGTACCCGCACCGGGGATGTCACCGAGGCGGTGTCACTGTGTGCCGGTACCGGGGATGTTTGGTGCCCGCCCGCCTGCTCCCTCTGTGGGGTTTTCCTTTCCCTTGGAGTGCTGTTGGCGAGCTGGGCTTGGCGCAGTGCTGCTTCCAGCGAGCATTTTGCCCCCTTCAGATCGGGAGGTCTCGTTCCCGAAACAGAACCGAGACACCCCGGCGAGGAGCAGTAGCCTGATGTAACCACCCCGCCTGCCCGAAAACCGGCCCGAGCTCAGGGGTTATGTTGGAACAAGCTGGGTCTCGGCTACAATGGACTAGAAGAGCCCAGCTCTGTGAGGACTGGCGTTGCCTTGTGCGTGCAACAGAGAACAAGGGCAATAATCCCAAATCAGAATGTGTGTATGAGGAAGAAATGAGACAGAGCATGAAAAACTAGGTATTGACGTAAATCTGCTCTTAAAAGCACTCTCTATCCTACCAAACAATGTAATAAAACAGCTCAACCCCACCCTATTTACAGCATCACCCTGTTAACAGCTTAAAGTGCCACTGGTTTTAGAAAGTCAAGTGTTTACTCCAAGGCTAAGTCTGGTTTGGACATACTAGTGGCAGTCGGGAGAGAGGTGGGTGTAAATAATTTACTCCCCGAGAGTAAAAATAATTCTTAAACTAATTTTCCCTTCCCGTATCTTCTGTCATAGTAGCTGAGATTGGTGAACTGCTGCTTCCACAGCTATTTCCTCTGAGGTGCTCATATTCCTTCATTATGTSTTCCTGCATGAACTTCTAGCCTACAGATTTGTCCTCTCCTTTCCCAGGAGTGGCTGGGATGAAGTTAGCTTCTAGTTTAGCCAACTGTCTTTTGCTTAGGTTTGCCTATAGTTAATAGAAAGAGAGAGGTTCCTTATGGACATGAAGTGAAACCTTCACATTTAGCTTTCTAATCTTCATCTGGTGGGGTCACTCTYGCTTCACTGAATACAAGACTTTAAAGGGATGTGCAGACTAATTCACCCTCGTACCTGAAGGTCACAGGAAAAACACTTGCTTAGAGACCAGATACTGGATTCCTTCATCCTCTCTCAATGAGGGAGAGCATGGACTGAAATACATGTGCATCCATCAGTGCTACCACCCAGTCTTGCAGCTGAAGCGTCGGGGTAATTTTGTCAATGGATTTTCTTTAGATATTTAGCTTTTTCAGAACTCAAAGCAAATAAGCTTTTTTCATTTCCCTGAAAGCTTACTTCTACAATTTCCAGCCCCCCAGCCCAATTATCTCCATTGTCCCCCTATAGCATAGAAACCAGAACACGTGGGCCTTGCTGATGTGATCCTTGGTACTGAAGGGAGGGAAGGCTATGTGTGCACTTTGATGCTAATGCTGGCTCCAGTGGCTGCAAGCTGCCCTGAGGGTGATCTCCTTTCAGTCTTACTGAGGGGAATGAAGACATTCTGGTGCTCAGTTACCCACCTCAATCTGTGCTGGAGGTTCTTCCTCTCTACAGAGGAAATGCAAAGCTGTACCTTGGCTGCTCCATCCTGTAGTTAATTTGAATTTAACAAGAAAAGGAGACTGCACAAGGATGCTGAAGTGGGAACCTGAAGTCTACAGGGTGAATATTCCAGAAGAGATGTGTCCCAAAACTCAGGACAGTGRTGTCTTAAAACACTAAAGCTGGGCATGGGTCAAAGCCCTGGTGTGTGCTGAGACAAACCATTCTTTAAACCATCCATTTTGTCCTAATATAAAACTCTTTGGTTGGAAKTACAAAGCTGCCTGAGGTCTTTAAAGGTGCTTAAAGTTTTAAAGGTGCTTAAAATGAGCTGTCTTCACTTGCAGCTAATATAACTTCCTGAGCTCTCATTCTCAGTGTCTATGCCATGACAAAAAWTCCAAGGGATAATACTTTGTATTGCTAACTGTGTGCCAAACACCATTCAAGTCTATGGCTAAGATTAAAAGTCTAAAATGAATCACATAGTTCAACAGTCACAGGAAAATGTGTGCAAGTCCTGCAATAAAGCCTTTTGGCTATTTTATTTTATTCTACAAATAAAGACAACTGTCCATCATTAAATGGAAAAAAATAATAGTTTGAGTTGTATATATCATGAAACAGTAGTTCCCTTCACAAAAACATTTCTAATTAATTAGTTTATTACAAAATACCCACTCACAAAAAAGCACAAGCACAACCTTTATACTTGTGAAATGAGTCGATATTTCATATACAAAATAATTTCCACATAATTCCATATAATTTTATTTTATATAGAAATAGGTCATTATTACAACAGCTGTACAATACACTACTTTTTATTTAATAATTACATAAAATCTTTCTTAGAAACATATCAACGGAAAACATACAAAAAAAGCGAAAAGTGCATTTTCTTTTTCTTTTCCTCCAAAGGAAAATTGAATCCTAAATGTTATAATGAAAGAGATATGTAATAGTCTGCAGCATCCCGAGTCAGTGGGCCAAAACACAGTGCATATTTCTCAGAGACTTGGAGTGGGTGAGTTTAGGTTGAAGAAGGATTCATGTTGTACTATTGGAGAGTTGCATGATTGTGCTTACAATTTGAGTTGTCCTTTGCAATCACAATTCATGTAGCAAACAGTCCAGTGTGGGTTTTGTGTTTGTTTTTTTGGTTGGTTGGTTTTTAATAATGAAGAACAGTTAGGGTAAGCTGCATAATACTTTTCAGATTCTAAATCAAGGGTTATGAACTGTAGACCATATTCACCAATGGCTGGGCCTCCATTGGGTGTGCTAATTTGGCCACAAGAATAAAGAAACAAACTTCTCTTTACAGAAAGTGCCTAGGTTTTGTCCTCTGTGCAGTTGTGCAAAATAATAACAATAATCATAATAAAAATAATCTCTTGTTCTCTCCTCGATAGACCTTTGACGCAGTGCTTTTCGTACACAAAAGAAGAACTGAAACAGTGAAGGCCAAGTACCTCATGAGTCTCTCGACGGTCTTTTGGAATTGCCAGATGGCTTCCAGAGTGACACGCCGGGATTGGACGCCTCTTCCCATACACCCAGTGGTGATGGAGGCTGCACAGGATAGTGCTCCTTTTCATTTTGCTCTGTCAGTACATCCTGTGTTCATGAGACAGCGCAAACGGAAGCCAGCGTGCCGTGAATGCACTGTCTGTGGCAGTCTGCACTCTGGGTGTACTTCTGTCACAGAGCTTGGAAAGAAATGCTTGTGCAAAAGCCAGAACAGKAAGTACAAAGTCATTCTCTTCTGCCCCATGTGCCCCTTGGTTAAAGCTAATCGTGCATTGATTGTGCTGGTGGGACTCTATCGCAGTGGCTGTGGTAAATTTGATGATTCTGATAAACTATTCCTTCTTCTTGATGTTAGTTGTTGTTGTTGCTGTTGCTGCTGCTGCTGCTGTGTCTGATGATACCCCATATTTCCTTGCTGTGGTGAGTAAGATGGCAGGAGCAAAGAATCGGGTTGTTCATTGTGCAAAGAACTTGGTGTTTGCACCTACAGATAAAATGAAATTTATTGTGGTGTTTGATTCTTTCATGTGTTAATGCTCTTTGCCCTCCGTGTACAGGATACTTAAAAATACTACTTGGTTTGCTGGCTTTTATTTCTGGAGTTGTTTGGTGTGTGGTTAGCTTAACTAATGCTACAAGGAATGGGCATAAATTGCAACAAAGAACATTCTAATTAGTCATTGGGAAGGTTTTCTCATAGGAGTGCACTGCCTGGGATTTGCAGGCTATCCTGAAAAGCCTCTTTAGGAACTGGGTGGGTGAACATGTCAGAAATGACAYGGATGGCAGAAATGAGGATTCTAATGTGCCTCATGCTGTCCTTTCTAGCCCTTCCTTTCCATCAGTCTACAGTAGGGCGTGACCTTGCAGTGTTGAGGTTGGTGTGACTTTTGCAGATGCTTTATTGGAAACAGTATCTGCTATATTTTTTTTCATTAATTCTTGGCTATGATAAGGATTTCACTTCAATAAYATCAGTTTAATAATTTGAAATTGGTTCTGCCCTTTCAGTGATGCCAGGGGATACGTGACCAGGTTTTATAGACTCAGTTCAGCTCCTAACACAGAGACACCACATTTCCCCCTTCTCTTTTACTTTAGTATGTGTTGAATTAGGTCAAAAAGTAAGTATTTTTACATCTTCAAATCACCTGGTTATTCCAGGCAATGTGCTCCACTTTATCTTCTTTGCCTTGTGGAGTTGAGAAAATATGTTAGTTTCCTGAAGGGATCCAGATATCTGATCCAGATCTATTTTATGTTGATGCTAGTAATTAAAAATCATCTTTTGACTTGTAAACTAAGCAAATTTTATACTGAATAAAGAGTRCAGAACAAATCCTAAGGCAGTGATTTTCTCCAGCTAGAAATAAACTTAAAATATATCCAAGATAATCTGATTATGCTCTCAATGTACAGAATTAGTAATTTCCTTTAAAATATTCTGACTGTTCTCACTGCTCCCTTGCTGTACTGGTACAGGGCACTGTAGMAGGGTCTCATGCATCAGCATTTCTTAAACGGACATTTCTGCCAGGATCAGGCTCCAGCAGAAACCTGGGCCCCTTCTGCACAGCCCACTCACCTTATTACTCTGTTTGTACACTTTASACATCATCCTCTTTGTCCTACCTGCAGGTAGCGTTGTTGCTGATGCTGTTGGTGCTGGAGTTGCATAGGTGGCAAAGAGGATGGTTGGGAAGGAGGGGTAGTGGCAAACCCTTGGTTTAACACTGCTTGTCCCATCAGTACGATTGGAGAGCTGCTGCTGGAAGTCTGCACTTSCAAACTTTGAAACATTTGTTGGGTTTGAGAATACCTACAGAGGAAAGTAAAACAATCAACAACAAAGTGTTGGAAGAAAAGGTCTTCTCTTAGAATAGGGATGGGAATCCCTAGTCTTCCTAATTCATAGAATCACAGAATGGCTTGGGTTGGAAAGGACCTTAAAGACCATCTAGTGCCAACCTCCCATCCATGGGCAGTGACACCTTCCACTAGACCAGGTTGCTCAGGGCCCCATCCAACCTGGCCTTGAACACTTCCAGGGATGGRACACCCTCCACTTATCTGGGCAACCTGTTCCAATGCCTCATCACCYTCACAGTAAAGAATTTATTTTTAATATTTAATCGAAACCTGCCCTCTTTCAGTTTAAATCCACTACCTTTCATCCTATCCTTACACATCCTTTAAAAAAGCCCCTCCCCATCTCTCCTGTAGCCCCTTTTAGGTACTGGAAGGCTGYTGTAAGRTCACCCCGGATCTCCTCTTCTGCAGCTGAACCCCCCCCCAAATAATTCCCAATGAATGATTCCTATGCATGGGACCTGCCAGTATGAACAACAACACTACTGACAGCACTGCTTTCCACTTACTCTGTTTATGAGCTGGACTTAGAGAGAAGAATACATCTCATCTCAAAATCCAGATCACATTATTTTAGATTCATTAAAGATTCTGGTTTATCCATGTCTGGTCTTCAGCCACAGCATTCACGTCCCAGGCTTATTAAACCAAATGGCCTTCGATTCTGTTTTAATATGCTGAGTCCTGAACTGCAGCAAGAGAGAAACAAATGCATGTCCTGTCCTGCTGTCTGTGCTCCCCTGTGACTGCCTGGGGGGTGGTGATCTCTTGCAGAAACATGGCTAGGGTTGATTACTTCTTAAGCTGCTCATGCCAGCAACTCCCATCACTGTGAGTCCAACTGTAGSAACAGAAGAAGCCTCTAAAAACCCTCTGCAACGATGGATGGGACAGAAACAAAACACTCATCTCCTCTTGCCATTCTGCTTTTGCACAGCAAAACTTAAATATGTGTTGTTTTGTGGAAGGCTGTGGGCAAAACCACAATGGAGCTATTGCCAACCCAGCCTAATTCTGTTTATCCTGTGAAGGGTGATGAGATCATAGTGTGGCTTGTGTTCACTCAACAGCTGTTCAACATTAGAGTTTAGTCAGAAATGCTACAGTCTGGGTATTTGTATGAGGATATGAGCACCTATAAAAGGGTCCCACGAGTCAGGAAGTCTAGAGGAACTGGGAGATGCTTCTTTGCAAATAAGGCCTCTTTTATTCAAAGGCTTAAAAGCAAAGCTGCAATATTTACATTTGATAAATTAACTCAAGATAATCTTAAACAACAATAGTCATGATTAAAAAAAGTACTGAATACCTACATTCCCGAGATAACATTAGAAGAATACTGTTTTGTAAAAAGAATTATTTTAAAAAAAAGATTTTAGCACTTCACAATTAAGTACAGTGAGAAAAAACAGCTAAAAAAAAAAAGATGTATTTTGACCAGTGTGTTCTGCTTCCTTCATCTAAGTTTTGAGGAGACAAAACAACTAAGGTGAAGTGTTCTTGGCACCAGTCATTTAACTGGGCCAGTGCCAACTTTCTCTCTCACGTCAGTGTTGGTGGCTCAGAAGTTCTAGAAGCAAGCAGCATGTTAAAATGCCACTAGCACATGTGTTTCTCTCTGTCATCCTTCCTGATGTGACCAAGGCAGGGTAAGGCTGACCCTGACGCTGGAGGGCAGGATCAGCACAGTAACATATTCCTCATATTTGTAACTACTTCATCATCTTATGAAAGAAGGCTACTTTCCCTCAAAAGCAACTTTGATGTTTTATCTTTGACAAGGCACGTACTTAGCCTGGGATCCCGCCATGCTGAGGTCTGAAGGGTGTCTTGCATTACAGGATCCAGGCATCATGGGCTGAATAGGCTGGCTAAGCAACAGTCTGGCACATGGGAGGAAAAAAAAAAAGTGACATTGCTGGAACAGAAGAACCATACAAATCCCACATCGTGGAAAGAGAAASATGGCATTTTTGCAGGCACGGCACCAGGCTGAGTGTGAGCGGGTCTGACCCAGCTGCTGGCTGTGGCAGGCACATCCCRGGCGCTGCGAGGCGGAGACTGGGGCAGCGCCTGCCCTCTGCGGTGGGTGTCTGACATCCACCKAACAAATCATATCTTTTATCATCATTGTTATCTGCTAAGTATATGGATGCTTGAGTGATATTTTACAACTTTGATTAAATTCACCTTGTGCTCTTCAAAGCCAGCAGCAAGGTTTCCAGTTTCCATTACGCTACAGGGTCAGACAGCTTCGCTCTAGGGGTCTTAACCCCGGCATTACCGCAGTCACGAGAGTAGGTGTGCGCTGTTATCGCTATTTCCACTGAGCCCAGCTGGAATCTCGGCCATTCCCAAGCGAGGATCCCAGCGCAATC